GTTTTTATAGATACATCGACTATATATAGGATAATTCTTAACGATTTTAGAATTAAGACTTATAGTTGGAAGGACTTTCATTCGGTGTGAAAGTGCATGAATAAGAGATTAGTTAGTCGATCTCACCAAATGAGAATGAATGAATCTCGTTATTTAATCAACTATTCCTTGATACATATATTTATTTAAGTAGAGCCAGAAGTCATAATTAATTGTTGACTAAATTTTTTGCGCATATCATTTATAAATATTTATTTATACATTTATATATATATATATACATATATACCACTATAATGTATGGTAATAGAGTTAATGTTGTAAGTTACCATTAAGGCTAAGTCCTAGATACGAAAAGAAATTGCGTTTCGACGAATCTCCTGAGATAACATTGTTGGAGGGACTTTCATTTCGTATGAAAGTGCATGAAGTAGAGATTCGTTGGTCGATCTCATACAAAGAGTACGAATAAACCTTGTTTTACTGCAGCCTTTTGGCTTTTATACGACGTTCAGGTTGACGCACTCCACGAGAACTCCTCAGGGTGTAAACAGGTGTAAACGGGCTGAGATTTCGTCTATGATAAGATAGACATCATTAGAGCTGGGTGTCATTCTTGTAAGAGTCTTACGTGAAAACTAGGCCAGGAACACTAAAAGGCCTCATCTTACCACTTATATAGACTCAATATATCCAAAAAATTTAGTCTATATAAGAGGTACGCTAAAGCCGAAAAGTGTTCTTGACCTAGTGTTAACGTAAAAGGCTTACAAGAATAACACCCAGCTTTGATGATGTCCATCATATGATGGACGAAAGCTCAGCCTGTTTTCACCTGAAATGAGGAAGGAGGTCTCGTGGACTGCGTCAACCTGAAAGTCGGATAAAAGTCAAACGGCTGCAGTACAACGAGATTAATCCGTCCTTTTCAGATGAGATCGAGCAACGAATCTCTTCTTCGTGCACTTTCCTACGAATTAAAAGTCCCTCTAACAATGTCATTTCAGGAGATTTATTGAAATCCAGTTTCTCTTTGTATCTAAGACTTAGCCATAATGATAACTGCCACCATGAACTCTATTACCATGCACCATAGTAGTATATATATCGATATAAAAATGTATAAATATATATATATACAAATGCCATGCGCAATAAATTAAGTTAAAAATTAGTTTTGTCTTTTGGCCTTACATTGAAAAAATAGATGTATCAAATAATAGTTAATTAAATGATAGTTCGTAAAATTCCATTATTTAATGTGAGCTTGAGAATAATCGATTTAATAAGAAAAATCGCTATGACTCTGAAAACATTTACATTTTATTTATATTCATAAAGAAAGTTCATCGGTTTAACTTTTACTTGATAAATTAGCACTACTTTTATAAGCGCTGAGTTTTTGACTATTTTAATAGTCCCTCTAGGCCTACATGGTACATGTTCCACATTTTTTAAAATTTAATAGATTTACTTTATGCTTTTATTCAGTAGGCAAGGAAAAGTAAGACTTCAAAAATGGTATTGCTCTTATACCGAAAAGGAGAAAAAGAAAATTGTCAGAGACATTGTTACTTTAGTGATTGCCAGAAAGTCAAAAATGTGTTCATTTATTGAATGGAAAGATCTCAAACTCGTTTACAGAAGGTAGTACATTATCATTTATAAGTTTCAGCGCGTAGATATGCTAGTCTTTACTTTTGTTGCGCAATTGATTCGATTGACAATGAGCTAATCACACTTGAAGTGATTCATCGCTATGTTGAACTTCTTGATAAATATTTTGGAAGCGTGAGTATTCTTTGCTCATCATTTATCCTATTTTTTCATGCTAGATTTGGTCTTTATTAACGATTTTGTATTATTTTCTTTGATATAACAAATGCAATATCGGTGCATCTACTTCAATTTTGGCATATAGACTGCTATGCATGGTGGAGTTTTTTCAACGCGAAGCATACCCATCCTATTAGCACTTGATCCATAGTATAACCTAATTGTCTATTCTACATGTTGTGTCTAAGCTGGTTTTCTTTGTACCTTTATAAAGTGCTACTGGAGTTTATTTGGTTGTTGTAATCTTAGGTACTAAGATCAGGAATATTTATTTTTTTCCATAGAAAGATTTAATATTATTTATTATTTTTATATCATATTATAATAATATATTTTTATGTCTAAGAATCCAAACACCATGGTCTATTTATTTTTGTGGTTAATTTATTTATTAA